CTCCTCCTCCGTACCCTGAGCCTCCACCACAGATGGAGCCACCACTGCCAGAGCTCATTCCTCCATGCCCTGAGCTTCCTCCTCCTCCTCCTCCTCCAGAGATGGAACCTCTCCTGCCAGAGCTGCTGCCATCCCCAGAGCTCATCCCCCCACTGTGGGGACTGCATCTGCCACTGCCAGAGCTCGATCCTCCTCCATAGCTGTGGCCCCCTCCAGAGATGGAGCCTCCACTGCCGGAGCAGCCTCCTTCTCCGTACCCTGAGCCTCCACCACAGATGGAGCCACCACTGCCAGAGCTCATTCCTCCATGCCCTGAGCTTCCTCCTCCTCCTCCTCCTCCAGAGATGGAACCTCTCCTGCCAGAGCTGCTGCCATCCCCAGAGCTCATCCCCCCACTGTGGGGACTGCATCTGCCACTGCCAGAGCTCGATCCTCCTCCATAGCTGTGGCCCCCTCCAGAGATGGAGCCTCCACTGCCGGAGCAGCCTCCTTCTCCGTACCCTGAGCCTCCACCACAGATGGAGCCACCACTGCCAGAGCTCATTCCTCCATGCCCTGAGCTTCCTCCTCCTCCTCCTCCTCCAGAGATGGAACCTCTCCTGCCAGAGCTGCTGCCATCCCCAGAGCTCATCCCCCCACTGTGGGGACTGCATCTGCCACTGCCAGAGCTCGATCCTCCTCCATAGCTGTGGCCCCCTCCAGAGATGGAGCCTCCACTGCCGGAGCAGCCTCCTTCTCCGTACCCTGAGCCTCCACCACAGATGGAGCCACCACTGCCAGAGCTCATTCCTCCATGCCCTGAGCTTCCTCCTCCTCCTCCTCCTCCAGAGATGGAACCTCTCCTGCCAGAGCTGCTGCCATCCCCAGAGCTCATCCCCCCACTGTGGGGACTGCATCTGCCACTGCCAGAGCTCGATCCTCCTCCATAGCTGTGGCCCCCTCCAGAGATGGAGCCTCCACTGCCGGAGCAGCCTCCTTCTCCGTACCCTGAGCCTCCACCACAGATGGAGCCACCACTGCCAGAACTTGATCCACGTCTACCAGAGCTGTGGCCACCTCCAGAGCCGGAGCCTCCACTGCCGGAGCTGCCTCCTCCTCCGTACCCTGAGCCTCCACCACAGATGGAGCCACCACTGCCAGAGCTCATTCCTCCATGACCTGAACTTCCTCCTCCTCCTCCTCCTCCAGAGATGGACCCTTTACCCCCAGAGCTGCTGCCTCCACCATAACTCACCCCTCCACTTTGGGTGCTGCATTTGCCTTTGCCAGAGCTCGATCCTCCTCCATAGCTGTGGCCACCTCCAGAGATGGAGCCTCCACTGCTTTCCCTGCCTCCTCCTCCTCCAGAGATCGATCCCCCAGTGCCAGAACTTGATTTTCCGTGACTTGTGCTTCCTCCTCCTCCACCTCCGGAGACAGACCCTTTCCCACCAGAGCTGCCACCCCCAGAGCTCACCTCTCCACTCTGGGGGCCACATTTGCCACTGCCACAAGTCGATCCTCCTCCATAGCTGTGGCCACCTCCATAGATG